CCGCGCAGACACGCAGAGCCCGCAGCCCTCTAGATCCCACGGCGGAAACACCGCCCAGCGCTCAGGGCGCAGCCCGCGGGCCACCGGTGGAGGAAACAGCCCTGCACACCGGGCACTGCTGGAAGCTGCACCGACACACGGGGTGGGGTGGGGCATAGCATAACTGTAGACCCAGGACAAACCCAACGGGTCGCCCAGCACCTGCGTTACAACGTGGACATTTCACCCAGAGACCCAGACACATACACACGCGGTGCACCAAAGCACGGACACAAGTCACCACTCACCTCCCACAGAGGCGAACAAGATACAATGAAATACCGCTCGCTCAGTGCGTGTACAGATACTACACACAGGGAGAGCTGCGTGCTCCCAGCACAGACCAGGCAGAACTTGGATACAAGGTGACAAGCATATCACGCATAGGGCTGTGATATGTAACAACCCAGACATACGGGACTACAACCGTAAAATGCACACACACGGTGCACAGAAATACAACACAAGATCAGTCGCACGCACTATACACTCAACATATGTGTAAGAGGCACACAATGAAAGACAGGCACAGAGTCGTAGGACAACAGATTGAGACAGTGTGCATGGTTCCAATCAGATAAGGTCCCTGTCCTTCAGAAAAAAGGCAGACTTTTCCCCACCCAGACTCGCCTTTAAGGGGCAGGGCTGGAGAGAATTCTGGCCAACAAACCCTCATCACCATCCCTGCCTTCATTCCCCAGCGTCCACCTTACCTGCCACCATTACAAGTGACAGACACCACCAGGAGGCTGTAGTCATGGGTGTGGCCCGTAGTCACCTTCCCCAGAGCCTGCTGCTATGGAGTGACCCACCCTTGGCCCTCTGCCTCATTCCTCCAGCCTGAGAGGAAGGGTCCTCTTACCCCTGCTTCACTTTCTTAGTTTCTTAGCGTCTGTCATGTTGCCCCCCTCCCACTTTACTGTCTGATTCTGGCTCTGTGATCCCCAGGAGTTTTGAGCACCTGCCTCCCCTCTCTGGCCAAGCCTGGAAAGAAAGCTGGCAGCAGTCCCATCAGACTAGATCTCCCAGTCCCCTCCCCCAAACCTGTGCGTTCCCAGGGGACCTGCAAGAATATGCCACTCACCCTTGCCCTGCAGAGAGAACATGTGTCCAGTGCAGGTGGGATGAAGATGTGAACAGAACATTTACATGAACCTTAGACCAAGATGTGAGGGCAGAGACTGCAGGGGAAGACTGCGGCTCACAGGCCAGCTCCACCTACTTCTGGCTGCGGGGCCGAGTGTCATTTCCACTGTTAACCCTCAGTTTCCTCATCCAGATAGACTGCTGGGAAGGCTGGAGGTAGTGTTTTCGAGCCCCTGGTGCCCAGCGGATGCAGAAGGTGATCCTTATGCTTTGTCAAGAATTCCATTCTCATTGAGTGCTCCCTTGGGTGGAACTAGAGCTGGGAGCCTGGGGCATACAGGTGAAGAGGAGACCCACAGCCTTGTGGGGGACTCACTGTTGGGGCACGTAGCAAGGGCCAGTAGCAGTAAGAGGGACTTGTGTGGTGACCTGGACATGGAACTGGGGAGCCCCGGCACTGAGACCAGCGCTGCCTCTGAGCCACGGTGAGATCTTAGGTGAGCTAGTCCCAATCTGACGTGTTCAGAGGCGGTAACAAGACTCTTTGTGTAGATAAAGGTTAGATAAAGGCTACTGTCTAGATATAAAGTGATGAAGGAGCAGGTGGTTTGATAAGCTACAAAGCAATATGCAAAATGAGAAGTTGTTGCAACAGTGCAAGACAGAAGTTTTATAATGTATAATGCCACAAGAAAGGTGGGGTGACACTCATGGTTAATTAGAGGCTAAGCTTTGCAGAAAAGGTGCCATTTAGATAGAATGCAGAAATGGCAGGTCAGTGTTCTAGGTGGAGGGAGTTAATGGGCTAATTGGTTATTGTGTTTTTTTTTTAATGGATAAAGGCTATCAAGTAATTCACAAAAGAAGAAGCCTAAATGGCTAAAAAGGCCAAAAAATATGACAAAGATGCTGAATGTCACTGGTCATGTGAGAGTTGCAAATGAAAAGAGCCACATTACTCCATTTTATACTCACCAGACCGGTGGTGTAAGAAGTCTGTCGATTTGGGGCCCTGGAAGGAATGAGGAGGTAGCACTGCACCCTTATTCTCCACTCACGGAGTTAGATTGGGACCATTTGGGTAGCAGTTTGGCAACATCTCAAGGTTGAAGATACGCTTAGCCACAATTTAGGGATTGTTCCACATCCAACATCTAATTGCAAAAATTAGATATTTACAAAGCTGTCTAGAAAAAGTATGACCTATGTATGCAGTAGTAGACTGAAAGTAAAACTAAGGCTGTAAGCCTCAACATATTTACACTTGAGGTAGAAACATCAACTTTAGCATAGGTACAACGTGATACAAAAAAAGTTTTTAAAGCTGGACATGGTGGTCCACTCATGTAATCCCAGCACTGAGAGGCTGAGGTGGGAGGATTAAGAGTTCAAGCTCAGCCTGGGCCACTTAGCTATTTAGGGAAATCCTGTCTCAAAAATAAAAAATAAAAAAGGGCTGAGGATGTAGCTTAGTACAAAGGCCTCGAGTTCAATCCCCAGTATCACACACACACACACACACACACACTGTTTTCTTGAAAACATTCGAAAGTATACTACGTATGTATTTTTAATTTTTA